TACTTTTCGACCCTCCGGAGCCCCAAATCATTGGAAAAACACAGTGTTTCGCGACTTTCCGACCTTTTCGCGCATCTGCATCTTCTTTCTGCTGACTCTTTCTCTTCTGACCTTCTTTCTTCTAATCTTTCTCTTCTCTCTGCCTCTGCCCTGCTCTGCTTTTCATCTGTCCATATTGTCGGAAGTTTGACTTCTAAACTTCCTTCGATTAAAATCAAATTCAAAACCCAGTATATAAACTCCTATTTATTCGAATCCCATTAAAATCCCACGAAATCAGCCTATCCCATATCAAGTCACCAGATACATAATTCGCACCTCCAGGCACCATCTTCTTCACCTCCTCCTTGGCCTTCTCGGACCTGACCCCGGCGTAGACTCTGAAGCCGTTCTCCGCCAAGACGCTGGCGGCGTGCAAGCCGATGCCCGTGGAGGCACCGGTGATCAGGACGGCGCCACCGCTCTCGGGCACCGGGTAGTTGGGAGCCACCTTGGTCATGGAGAGAGTGGATAGATTCACCGGATTGGTTGAAGGGCAAAATTACAGGAAACCATGGTTTTCCCCATCAAAAAAAGGGTTTCCTGGATTTTTTTCCCTTAAACCAATCTAGTGATAGATCCAACTATATCAGGTTTTTGCTTATCTTGTTTTATATGAAGAGGAATTAAAATCTAAGAGGGCATGCTGAAGCAATGTGCCACGACAGATGTCAGAGAATCTCTTGCTCTCCATCAGCATCTGATCTGTCAAGAACGTGATTGCACAGGACTCACACAGGAACCTCATGACCAACCGATTTTGGGGTACCCAAAAGCAAAACCCATGAGTTGTTGCTTTCCCAACGCCATCCATTTTTGAGCCTTGAAAGTGACACTCTTCATAGGCTCCGTGGGTTTTGGCAATGACAGCACCATCCCTTCAGTGCATTGAAAGCTTCGACCACCTGGTTTTTGTTTGGTTCTCTTGGAGGACCCCCCCCTAAAACCTATACAGGTTAGAAGCTATAGGTCAAATGATTCTGGCTGCTTGTGAAAAGAAATCAGCAGTCAGGTTCAACTCAAATGACCAGTCTCGTCTGTCTTTGTTATTTCGGGATGGAGAATTCAACAAGAAAATAGGGCACCAATTGACCCGCATGTTTGACCTTTTGCTGCACTCAACTATCCATTGTTGGGGGATGTGAATTTTGAGCCATAGCCATGTAAGTTTTGATTCTGTCTATCTCCCAAGTTCATGATTGCATTGAGTCTCGCAACAGAAGTGAATCGCATCATGACTATTGCCAGTTGACATCAAATATCAAATTGGTATCAAATTGTTGACATGCCACATTTCATGGTAAGCTTCATTCTTTTCCAGGTTCCAAGAATGATATTTTAGAATCAAAAAAACTCCAAATGGGATGGCAAACGCCATTTCTTGCAAGTCACCACATAGTCCAGCAAACCCAGCAAGCAGGCACAAAGGCCAACCAACACGGCAGCTCGAAAGAACATGGCGATTTTTTTTTTCGGCTCCAAGGAAACCACGAAACACCAATAATTTGGTTAGTGGATCTTGGTGGTTTCAACCCAGAAAACCTGGAAGGGCTGGAGACTAAGCAACATCTGAACCCAGTTTAGGGAGGTGTTCTTTTTTTTTTTGGTCTCCTCCTGGTCTATACATTCTATTCGGTATAAACAAGTCAGACAAGTATTGTTTTCGATTGCGCGCGGGTTTCTACTTGCGTAAGTACGTGTTTCTTTTTGCTGACATGTACGAATCATTAATGCCATTCTTAATTAAATATATACCCAGTGCGTCCAATACCTATTCTGCATAGGTCTTTGGAGACCTAAGTGGGAATCCCGGGACCTATCCAGGGAAGGGTGCTACAGCCAAGAGACATATCATGTCATTCACAAATTTTTGAAGATGAACAATCGTGAATAACTGAACAACAAAATATGTTGATGCACAATTTATGCTGAATTTCAGACCTGACCATGGACAAGCGCGTAAAGACCTATCTAGAGCGAGGACAGGGGTGCTAGAATGTTCAACTAATTTCATGTTTTCTGCTACAGAAAAATTGGATCCCGTCCCAAACAATTGGCAACAATTTGGGTTTCAATCTGGATACTCTTGATGACACAAGAATTCAAACACATGCAGTTTTAAGCCTATTAATCCTGTGCCCTATTTAAGTCATTTGTTGATTTACATAATAGGTCTTTAGGCAAAGTCCTATCCTGGATAGGATTTTGGACTTTGAGGATATATATTTATATATAATAATCATAAACAAATAAGTCAATTATATATATACATATATAAATAATATATATATATATATGTGTGTGTGTGCGTGAACATACGTGTTTTATTATTCGTATATATGATCATTTTCCCCACTCAAATGACTATTTTGGGGCCTAATTTCTGGACATAATCCATTGCAGACTCTCCCAACATTTTTTCGTCCGGCTTCGCCGCATCGGGGATCCCGGTGCCGAAAGGATGGTTCCTGAAGAAGCTCAGAAAATGGCTACGTTTGTACCTCCAAAAGGTGGATAAACATATTAATGCGGTCAAAACAATGACATAAACCACCCATAACTGGAAATGGTAAGTTGATACCACCTGCAAAATGGTGAAATTGGGGATAGTTAATTATTGTTTTACCCCGGAATGGATGATTTACCATGGACAATCCTACTAAATTGATGATGACTGGGGGTACCCATATTTTAGGAAACCTCCAGCAACCTCCATATTAAAACAAATTCACACATATTGAAACATGCGGGACAATAACCATCCCTGAAAGCCCTGGGACCTTGAAAGGAAGGGCCACCTATACTACAGAGTGGTACGAAAAGGGATTATGGAAATGTCGAAGGTTTCTGCGGCCGAGGAAATTATAGAAATGTCAGGTGTTCTACGGCCGAGGGTTCTGATACAAGGTTCCCATAGATGACATGAGCAATATCAGGGAGCACCACACAATTTCTTCTATTTGAAGAATTCTCACGCTCACTGTTGGGATCCCTGGCTTGCGAATTCAACCATTAGAGCAGGAAAAACCTTGGAGCGTTTTGATCAATCACTTTGCTGAAAGGTCAAATGCGTTGAAAGAAACATGCTCACGATTAATCCCTTCCCCCTAACCCACCCGAGTAATGAAAACTAGGGTCCATCTGCAATTTTGGAAAACAGGTTGGCCAATTTGACTTTTAATTGACCCCCTTTAGGAAAACAATTTAAAACTAAAGTTACTATTTGTGGGATTCAGCCTCCAAGAAAAAAACTAGTCAAGGTCCGCTTCGAAATCCAAATTTTGGCAATATTTTAAGCGCGTTATAAAAGAAAATTTATATAATTGATTTTGAAATTGAAAAATATTTTTTTTAGGGTTTAAATTTATTATTAGGGTCTGCTTCGAAATCCATTTTGTGGCAATATTTTAATTGCGTTATAAAAGGATATTTAATTGGTTTTGAAATCATTTTTTCAATATTTTTTCTAAATATAAGGGTGTAAATTTATTATTAGGGTCCGCTTTGGTTCCCTAATAATAAATACCACCCTAAAAATAAAAACTACCTGAGGTGTTTATTATTTCGGGGGGAGGGGAGGGCCGTATTTAGTATTCGGGGGAGAGGATTACTCAAGATTTTTTTCGCACCTTACGGGTCTAAGAGTGCCTCATGGGTCTTTACTCGTACCTTATTGGTCCTACGAGTCCTACTCACAAAAACTCACGATCCCTCACGATTTCGAAATCTATAACATGCTGAAGTTTCATACCCTCAAGATCAAGCAGACCCCCTTGTCCGACAAACTAGAACCCCAAATCTGGGTTCTAGAATGGCATCCTGTCAAAAAACCCAAGGCTTTTAACAATCCTCAACGGAGAGCAATTAGAACCCCAAACTGCAAGCCATAAAATATCATAAAATCATGGAGAATTGACACGTTTTTTTTTTGGGGGATTCTCCTTGTTATTATTTAAAGCAAAATTTTGCATTTCATTTGCACACAGTTTTTGTCCACCCGTACGCATTGCGCGGTTCAGGTCATCAAAATGTTTTGGATTATTATGATTTGAAGGATTTTTTAAAAGGCTGCGTCAGGCCCACCTTTTCCGGAAAATATAAGCAGCACATAGCAGCACCTTTTTTTAAAGCAACGTCGGGATGGATGCAAAAACCGATTGCAATAATGGTGAGGCTCATGTTTTTTCAATTACGGATGTTGCCGGGTATAATTCAACACGTTGTTTATCATTGCACATTGCTGCAGCTGCCCAACACCGTTTTACCTCCTTTTTTCCAGAAATTTCAAACCAAGCGACGTTGAAATCACCTGGTTTTGAACATGAAAATCTTGATCGACCAAAACCAGGGATGCTAATTCCAAACTAGTTCAAACATGTTTTGCGCCTTTGTGCAGATACCTCATCACGACTTGGTTCCTTTTTCTGCACTCCAAATCAGTGACCTTTTCTTGTGGTCTGTTGGAATCAATTTATACCACAGCAAGGCTCATATATCCAAACTTTCAGGGTTCTAATTTGATAGCCTTTCAGGGTTCTAAAATCATAGTGGTGATGATTTTAGAACCCTCAATGGCAACCCCAGGGGGGATTCTAGACACCTTGATCTTGAGGGTATGCAGTTTCTGCAAGTTCCTTTTGCGTGCCGGAAACAGCATAATCAACCACATCGTAATCTCTAGCCAAAAGCAGCATAATCAACCACATCATCACAGCGCATGTTGGCGTTTGGATGGGTTCCAGTGTCCTTTTAGTCAGGATTATATAGCCTTAAAAGTATAATATTATATGAAGCATTATTTTGGAGCTGTTTCCCACCGTACTTTCAGGTGCAATAGGACTTAAAAGTATACACGTACCTTTTCTGGCCACTTCTACGAATATGGCTAAGACCTTCAAAGTACGTACCTTGGACTTCAAGGGCTCTATATGTACTGTTTAGCTCTTATTCTATTCGAAACATCCAACCAAAGTGATCTTGCTAAAAGCATCTTCAACCAGCCTGGACACCAAACTTATACAACTGCGTTTGCTGCTTCAGCAGCTCCGCAGCAAACCCAGAGATTGGAAACCTTCAGCTTCCAGTGTTTCCGGGGAGGGAGGTCAGCCTTTTTAGCAAACCTCCCGTTCTTCACGTCCCAAATCCAAAAAACATATGGATTCGCGCGCGTATTGCTGTTTCAGGCTGCGTTGCAGCCTGAGTCAACATGTATCAATGAAAACATGGTTCAAAAAAGACACAATTTGATGAATTATGAAAATATGCATCCAAAGATCAGTTGCAACCTGGCGAATTTCAGATTCAACTCAGGGTGTTTGTGTAGCTTAGCCCATGGTAGCAGGCGATGCTACCGCTGCTCACGGTTGGCCAAAGCCAGAAATCGATCTTTCTCATAGGATTGCGTCTCTCCTGGGACCAAAGGGCAGCTAAAATCTAAAACATCACTTTGTTCCCCACCTGCCAGGTGAGGGTTGTTAGATTTTATCTAAGTTGCCTGGTCCTCCTCCTCCTCCTGCCTCCTCCTCTTCCTCTCCTCCTCCTCTCGTTGTCCTCCTCCTCTCGTTGTCCTCCTCGTCCTCCTGCTCAACTGCGACTCGCGATCCACAGTGTTCGCTGCCGGACCTCAACCACGACCATCCACGCCCAGTGTTCCCTGCCGGACCTCAACCACGACCATCCACGCCCAGTGTTCCCTGCCGGACCTCAACCACGACCATCCCCGCCCAGTGTTCCCTGCCGGACCTCAACCACGACCATCCACGCCCAGTGTTCCCTGCCGGACCTCAACCGCGAGTATCCACGCCAAGTGTTCCCTGCCGGACCTCATGTAGGAAGATATGGGACAAAGAATGTGCAGAAGAAAGTTAGAAAGAATGTCAGAAAGAATGTCAGAAGATATGCCAGAAGATATGCCAGATAGAATGCCAAATAGAATGCCAGATAGAATGCCAGAAGATATGTCAAAATATATGCCAGAAGATATGCCAGATAGCCAGATGCCAGATAATATGCCAGAAGAGATAGAATGCCAGAAGATATGCCAATGCCAGAAGATATGCCAGATAGCCAGATAGATTGCCAGAAGATTTGCCAGATAGAATGCCAGAAAATATGCCAGAAGATATGCCAGATAGATATGTCAGAAGATATGCCAGAAGATATGCCAGAAGATATGCCAGAAGATATGTCAGAATATATGCCAGAAGATATGTCAGATAGAATGCCAGAAGATATGTCAGAATATATGCCAGAAGATATGCCAGATAGAATGCCAGATAGAATGCCAGAAGATATGCCAGAAGATATGCCAGAAGATGCCAGATCATATGCCAGAAGATATGCCAGATAGAATGCCAAATAGAATGTCAGAAGATATGTCAGATAGAATGCCAGAAGATTTGCCAGTAAGAAAATGTATAAATGTCATGGTGGGGATCACACGAAGTAAAGTAATTTATTTGTTCTCTCTCTCTCTCTCTCCAAACATCTGCCCTCCGGGAAATTTGTTAGAGTAGCTATGGAAGCCATGGCCTATTTACAAATAATTTAGCTGTTACACATGACTATTTTCCATAGCTATGTTAGTTTACTGGAGGATAAGACCGGGACGGCGAATATCTTAAAAAACAACAGAAACTGTCATCCACAATGGGAAAATCATCTTCCCGTGCCATGTCTTAGAACTTTGATATTGGTCAAAGGGGTTCGTCATTGATTTCAAAACATCCCTTGGTCCTTCGGACAGATTTCCCATCATTTTTCCGATGTTTTTCCACCCAGCAGAAATCGATAGAAATTGAATAATCCATCCCCCAGAAATCCTTGGTTAGTAGGGGACGACAGATGTTTGAAACCATAAGCGGGGGCGTTTAATATTCGACAAATGAGATTCTCAAATTGATTACACGACCAAGAGGGTCAGAGATGCTCACTACAACTGATGGTACTTGAGTGTGCTTCTGGATGCCCGGATCTCTCCAATTCACCGGAAAAAGTCAGCCACATCTCCGGCTTGCTGGCAAGTCTTGCTGCTTTTTGGAATTGTGCAGAGTGCGAATCTACGGTCTACCCTCTGGTAAACTAACATAGCTATGGGAAAACACCATGTTCAATAGATAATATAGATAAATATGGGTAAATATCATGTGTAAATACCGCAATTTTGAATAGTTTACTGGAAGGTAGCACTTCTCAATGATTACGGACAGGCCAGCATGAATAACAAAAACAACAATTTGTCCATGATGATTTTCGATGATTTTCGTAATTGCAAGGAAGCCCTGAAAATCACCCAAAGCTATCTCACAGAACCCGGGGCCCTCCCAAACAAGTTCACTCTTCATTCTAATGAATCATGTGGCTACACAATTGCAGCTACAGCGATTACTTTAACTTTCTCCACCGCCTTCTCAAGAAGTTCAGCAGGGCCAAAGGCGAGCAAGGCACAGCTCCATTCACTAAATTAAGTTGCTGTAAACCCGGCCATGAACAATCCCCAATATTACCGTAAAAGGCTGGTACATGCTGGTATAGATTTATAACACGCGGTTTGATGGGCTTATTCTTGGGTGAACCCCACATTGTCACCCATTCTCCCCATATTTTGCTGGTTACATCCCTATTTGTCCTCCCTATCAACATGGGCAACTTGGCAACTTCCATCTCCCCACCCCGCTGCGGCTCAGTGGCGATTCACCGAACACAGGGCTTTCTCCCCCACGGCACCCGCGTGCCATCGCGGCACGGCCCCAAATTCGCTACCTGAAACGGAGCTACCGAAAGGTTAGTACACTGTGACGGTTGTGTCCTGTTGATATATAGTATGTGAATGTATGTGATAGTAACCCCCTGCTATAGCCAAGTCGTGGATATTGATGATATTGCAATGCAAGGATGAACCTGTCAAAGAATCGAGAACAAATGACAAAAGAATAACACTGCTATAGAAACAATGTATATAATTAATCCCATTCCCCTAATACTGAATCGAATAGAATATGGGCCCCCAAATTGCACGAATCCAACACCCAACCATTGTTTCTGGAGGGTATGGAATATTTGGGGAAACGGACTGATCCGCATTTATCCCCTAGCCTATGCCTGTAACAATACTCCTGCCATGTGGGGCGAAAGGGATGAAATGGTTTTTGGGGCAATCCCAGTGCAATGCCAGTCTTGCGCACTTTGGGTGGAACTTGAAATATGTCCTCAGTCCCAGACATGGGGTCAAAAATCGAATAATGACCAGAACGAGTTGGGATGTATTCTAAACTGGCGCCAAATTCAAGCTATCCCATACTAATATATATGGTTACTATATCACTTTTCTCGGACAGTAGAGGATAGTTGAATTTAATATAATTTAATTGTCCTATACCACATACAGGATTGTCAACCTATACCAGGTGAAAATTCTAGAACAGCCTGGTAACCCCTATAGATACAACCCCTATAAACCCTGGTTATTTATAGACTAACTTATAGCTAACTATGGGGCACCACCCTGTACCCCCAGCTCCGGCTTTTCCACGGCCAAGGCGCCATGCTTGCCCCAGCCGGAGCGGCGGAAGATGCCAATGTCCCCATCCATGGTCACACAGAGCCTGTACCTGGATGCTTTAATGGGACAACCGTTTTTAGTCAACGGGACGGGGCGCTATTACGTGGAAAAACTCTATGATTCTATGATCTATAGTTCTGTTGTTGAAACATGTTGAAACCATGGGTTTTTACTCCAAGATACTTCAGGGGGTTCCGGCAAAGTTGCCCTTAAAGCCTGGGACCCGATGGTTGCAGAATGTTGCAGCTATCAAAACCTAGAAGGTTAGAAATTAACCCTTGCCCATCTTGGACCTAAGTCTGGCCCTGGGTGGGCTTCCCTGGATAGGATGTTTTTTTTACCCAAGGGTGGGAATGGCTACAAACAATTATTGCCTATAATATCCTATAATTATATACCAATAGTACCGCACAAGGCGGCGGCGGAAGTTTCAAAAATAGGAAACCTATAGGAGAGGTTGGTTGTTATGACTCACGGATGGCAGGGCGAATCCACTGATGGACCGACAGGTGGTTGGAGTTGCAGTGGTCACCTCAACTGCTGGATGTAGTGTGGTGTAGCGCAGTTGTAGTTGTAGTTGTGGTTGTAGGTGTAGTTGTAGCTGTAGTGTGGTGGAGTCGTAGTTGTAAGTTGTAGTTGTAATGTAGTGTGATTGGTGTAGTGTGGTTGCAGTTGCAGTTGTAGTTGTGGTGTAATTAGTGTAGTGTATTGTAGTGTACTGTAGTGTTGCGTACTGTAGCTTGGTATAGTGTAGTGTAGTCTAGTGTATTGTAGTGTATTGTAGTGTAAAGCAGTGTAGTTGTAGTTGTAGTTGTAGTGTAGTGTCGTGTAGTGCAATGTAGTGGTAGTTGTAGTTGTAGCGTAATGTAATGTAATTAGTGTAGTGTAGTGTAGTTGTAGTTATAGTTGTAGTTATAGCTGTAACGTACTGCAGTTTAATTAGTGTATTGTAGTGTAATGCAGTGTAGTGTAGCTTAATTAGATGTAATTAGATGTAATTAGATGCAATTAGATGTAAATAGATGTACTTCTGTAGTGTAATTAGTGTTGTGTAATGCAGCGTGGTATATTTGTACTTGTAGTTGTAGTCGTAGTGTAGTGCAGAGGTACTTGTAGTTGTAGTTGTCTATCTATCTATCTGTCTATCTGCAAGCTTGAAAACGAAGCTATTCTGCGAGACCTCCTCAGTTTTTGAACTTGACAACATCAAAAACAAAACAATCTGCGAGACTTCGTCAGTTGACAACATCAAAAACGAAACAATTCTGCGAGACTTCCTCAATTTTCGAAGTTGACAACATCAAAAACGAAACAATTCTGCGAGACTTCCTCAATTTTCGAAGTTGACAACATCAAAAACGAAACAAGTCTGCGAGACTTCCTCAGTTTTTGAACTTGACAACGTCGAAAACGAAACAATTCTGCGAGACTTCCTCAATTTTCGAAGTTGACAACATCAAAAATGAAACAATTCTGCGAGACTTCCTTCAAAAATGGAAAGTTGAGTGCAGAGCTGATGTGTTTTTTGCGATTTTTCCACTCCACCTGTCTAAAGTACTGCGCCTGCCACGAAAAAGTGATGCCAGGTCAATCGAAGTGCTGCACCTGTCACGCAAAATCATCTCAGCAAAACTGAAGATATCTGAAGATTTTATGCTCCAAAATGCAACCCCTCTCAGGAAATCAGCGCCCTGACCTCCTAACAGCTCTGATGAACATGTCTCTTGTACTGCGCCTGCCACGGAAAATGCATCTTTGCAGATCCTCTTCAATTGTCCCACGCCTGCCGTCGTTTTTGGAAATGCTACAAAACCTTCACGTTTTGCTCACTTTTGACAAGGTCCACAATCCCTTGCGCCTGCCACGCGAAAGCATATCTGAACGTCCAAAAGTGCTCCGTACCCCACAGTTTTTTGCACCGAAATGTGCTTCGCGCCACACCGGCGTGCACTTTTTCGGCATCGCAACTTCCAAAAGTGGTCCGAACATGGTGTGCTTTGCGCATTTTGACTTCGAAATGCGCTTCGCGCAACAATGGCGTGCACTTTTTCGACATGTTAACTTCCAAAAGTGGTCCGGACCTGGTGTGTTTTGTACATTTTGACATCGAAATGTGCTTCGCGCCACGCCGGCGTGCACTTTTTCGACATCTCAACTTCCAAAAGTGGTCCGGACCTGGTGTGTTTTGCACATTTTGACATCGAAATGTGCTTCGCGCCACAACGGCGTGCACTTTTTCGACATCTCAACTTCAAAAAGTGCTCCGAACGAGGCTCGCTAAAGCGGCGGGTGCAGAGCCAGCTGGCCAGATGAGAGATGAAAAATGGCACGCCGTTGTGGCACGAAGCACATTTGCAAGTGAAAAAGCTACTTTTCGACCCTCCGGAGCCACAAATCATTGGAAAAACACAGTGTTTCGCGACTTTGCTACCTTTTCGCGCACCTGGATCTTCTTTCTTCTGGATCTTCTTTCTTCTGAGACTTTCTCTTTTTTGAGACTTTCTCTTTTTTGATCTTCTTTCTTCTTCTCTTCTCTTCTCTTCTCTCCTCTCCTCTGCTCTGCTCTTCTCTTCTCTTCTCGTCTCTTCTCTTCTCTTCTCTTCTTTGACTCTTACCACCTCTGCTTTTCATCTGTCCATATTATCGGAAGTTTGACTTCTAAACTTCCTTCGATAATTCTATATACATATTTATTATATATATATACACAAGATATATCCCGCAAAAAAGTATCAACAAACTGAGCCAGATTGCCACACAAAAAAGTCGCAGGAATGGCGACCCATCAGGGACTCACCGAGCGGCTGATGGTCCTTGCTCTCGATGAACTCGTGCGAGGTGCTCTGTTCCGAGAGTTGCGTCAACATGGTCTGCGCTTGCCTCGGGCTGCCGGGCCATGCATTCTGGAAAGGAGTCCCATGATATCCCATGATAATGTGCAAAAAAAACCAACAGATGTAACCCATTTTTAGAGTATCTAATGGTATTCCAATGGTTTCACGAACCACAAATAAGAAGAAGGTCAAGAAAACACGGGGAACATCCATGAAACTGCACTTGGAGTCCACACGATGAGAAGTGTTCAATAGTGTTCAGCACCCTCTGTCACCCCATAAGTATGGATGATACCCTCTGGTAAATTAACATAGCTATTGAGAATGGCCATTTATAGTGGATTTACCCATAACAAATGGTGATTTTCCATAGTTAGGTTAGTTTTACCAGAGGGTAATCCCCAGTATGTTGGATAGCATCAATCGCCCTGTAGTAATCAAGCAGCATGGGTTTTGAACGCTCCTGTTCGTAGCTTGGCCCTACGAAACGCGCCAAAACGCTGGTCATTCCACGGTTCTCCAAATGGACTTGCTTGAAAACACATCCAACAGATTATCATCGTTTTCCCCATCTAACTTGGAATTTATGTGTCCCTCCATTTTCACCAAACCATAGGTCTACAGGGTAGATCCACATTTGGCTTGGGTCAATGTATATGTTTCCTCGTTACAACATCAATTTTGGAACCAGGAAACCGACATGATCAACATGGTTTGTCCAAAAAACTACGCTATTTTCATTTTTTTGAAAACCAGCAAAGGTATATATATATATATACACATGGGTTCAGCTATCTGGCTTTTCTATGCTTTTCTTGTTGGAAGTATGTCAGTTAAGCTACCTACTTAACTAGACCCTCCAAGTACCCACCCATATAAACTGGAGAAAAATGGTAAATGTCTGAAATTTTGTATAATTATATATATAATATTTATCCATATTTATCCTAGGTATTTAAGGTTCTAGGCACCCATTTGATAGATACGTTTCCGATTTAAACCTCCAATCAGTTCAGGGATTTCTCCGCTCGCCATGTTTGGTTACCAAAAGGTATTAACCAATAGTCCATTCATATTCCACCAATATTCCATGATACCACCCCCACCCCCACACCAACAAAAACACATTTGTTGCTCTAACTTAATAGGTAAAACAGCGAACTACATGTCCATATTAAATTCAATAGCAAACTTTGGTCACCAGAGGGTTAGCCCCGTGAAATCCCATTAAATCCCTATTGGTTGATGGTAAAACTACCGTTTTTTCTTTGTTAACTTACCGAAATCTTCAGTTCGCAGCGGCCGCCAAAGGGCTTCAGTTCACTCATCTGATGCTCCAATTTGGCGCTGACCGACTTCTGCCCACTGCTTTGTGCCTGCTCCACACCTGGGAGCCACGTCGGAAAAAAAAAATCAAGGGAATCCTGGGTGAAACTGGGGATATTCACCAACCATAGTAACCATAGTAACCATAGTAGGAATATACTGGGATAGAATGGGATATAAATGGAGATGAAATCTCACTGATGTCAGAATGGCAAAATTTGGGAGCATTCCGCGAGCATTGGTCAAAAATCGCTTCCGGGGCGGTTTCGCAGAGCAGTTGCCATACGAATTGGAGAAAAAACCGGGTGCCCCATTGAACAAATCAACCAACCAGTGGGAAAAGGGTGAGGTAGATCAAGCCAAGAGTGCTGGGTTGGGAGAAGAAATCCCAAAACATAGCAATTTATATCAATTTATGGTGATTGGAAGTTCGTTCAGTCGACCCTTTCGGTTGTTCCATCATGTTCCATCTCAGCCTGGTAGCTTTCTCAATCATTTTTGTTTTGGACAATTTGGAGGAGGTGTGGCATACCATTTCCCATGTCGTACGGTACCTATTAGATTAGAAAAAATGGTTGGTGACCACTGTAGCATCAGAAAAGTTGGCGGGTTCACCCCTAACCACCATGTGAAGCGAGGTTTCACACCCGGCAAGATTTTTGCCAATGCCTGGGTTTATCATGGTTTATCCATATATATTATATAGCATGTATAAGCACGTGTAGGGTTATCTCAGCGTTAGAATCCTTTAACCTTTAGCCTTGTCCAGGTTATAAATTGCTTGTGAATTGGGTTTGGCTGAAAATATATATCTGAAAATGGGCTGCCCAAAAAACATGGTGCCGGCGCCTCTAAGGGGTCCTGCGTTTGTGCATGTTTCGGATTCATGGCTACCTTGAGAATCATCAAAAAATGGTGGTTTTGAAGGATTTCATTTGAAATCGATGTTAGAAAAGCATGCAAAACCTTTGCAAGGATTTCCTAATAAGTGGATTTCGGCAACCCTTACACCAATTGGCACACTTTTTTCACGTCTTTCTGGTGGGTCAATTTTTTTGGCAATATGTCCATAAAGTAGTGTCGTGTTGCAGTAGAAATAGGAGAGAAGTTCTTCTGACATAGCATCAACTCTGGAGACGATCTTTTGAACATATGGAAGTGCAAGAGACTTCATAGAACATATCATCAAAACAAATATAACCTAGGGTAAAAAAATGCATAAGTGCAAGAGAAGTTCTTATAACGTAGCAAGAAGAAAAGTCTCTGACGTAACAGCAAAAGGGTGTGCAAGTACAAGGGCCTCAATTATTGCGCCAACCAACCCGACCCAACCAACCCCAACCCAAAAGCACGACGTATGAACGGCAAAAGAATAGAACGTAGTTTACAAACAATGGAGAATTGCAATACAGAACTTCTTATGATGTAGCATCACGTTGTTTGGTGCCGGTACGTTATTGCCCCAACCAACCCCACCCGACCAGCCCCACCCTAAGCTGAAGCAATGGCAAAAAACATAGGCGGACAATGGCAGACAGAACAGAAAAGGCAGTGAAGTAAAAAGTGAACGAACGCAGGGCCCCTTGCAGGCGCCGCCACCAAAAACATGATTATGTTGATTAATCATGATTAATCATCATTTTCACCACAAATCCCAATCATCCATTGTCAGACCCATGATACACGTACGAGTATCATTTACCATCTGGTTATTTCACATTTAGCCATGGAAAATCCCTTATAAATGGAGGTTTTAATGGGAAAATCATCTATAAATGGGCCATGTTCCATGGCTATGTTAAATAACCAAATGGTATCATGTCTTATCCGGCTTCAAAATCACGTTCGCCCAGCTTCGATCCAACTTTCCCACAGTATCACCCTGTTGAGCCGTTAACCTGGAACTGCGATGAGTCGCGCCCATGAAAGATGGTGTTTTAGCGATCTTTACCACATAAACAATGGGAATTTCAGGATCCTAAACTGGAGGTACCCACCATATATAAGGCCTATATAAGGCCTATGTAAGTGGATATCACCACAAAATATGGCCTTATATGGTACAGTACCTCCATTTTAGGATCCTGAAATTCCCATTGACATAATGGAAAGATATGGAAAGTATCATGGGATAACATGCAAATTGTTGCTGTAAATTTGCGTGTTCATAGAATCAATGGAAACATGTGCGGCGTAAAAACCAATAGTTTTATGATTTTAGGGCCGTAGATTTGGAAAACCTGTGCGGAAACCTCATGAACACGCTTGGATAACATTTTCGGTATTCCACATATTTTAGTTCACGGTAGGGTCCGGTATAAACTACCCCTCGACATCTGAGATGTAGCATGTCAACATGAATGATGTAAGCATGGAAAAAAACAGTTCGAAAATGATTGTCCTGTTGAAAAACGGTTACTCTAAAGTATAAGTGTTTATATTAAGTATTGTTTTTCTTTTTTTGGGTTGCAACTGGCATCAACTGGCACGTTGCTTCTTACACTCTCCACTCTCAACTGGTTTCTTTTACTTGGCCCAAACAAGCCAAACAGCTGGACGCATTTCTGCCTTTTGCTGCCGGGCAACTCCTCCACTTGCCGGGTCACCTGACGCGGCAAAAAAAATCCATTGGTCACTCATGTTCTACAACTAATGTCAACTAATATCAACTAATTATACGTAATCAATACCAATTCATCCAAGTTTGGTTGAATTTCCACATTTTGGATTGATGACGTTCCATGATTTCCATAATTGTTTATGATTCATTGTCCATGTTTGGGGATTGATGATTTTTCCACATCAAAAGTGTATGTTCTTTGGCAAGTTTCAAAATTTCGGAGCTTAATGGTGTCAAACTCACACTATAGTTTTGCTTCGAAGATCATCCACTGTAGCTGTTGATTCTAAGAATTTCAAACTGGTAAACGGCCTTATTACTTATATTCCCATTTTAAAACCATTTATAATCATGTATAATCCCATTCATAAGCATATATAAGCATTTATAATCATTTATAATCCCATTTATAAGCATTATAATCATTTATAATCATTTATAATCCCGTTTAAAGGCATTCATAATCATTTATAATCCTATTTATAAGCATTTATGATCATTTATAATCCCATTTATAAGCATTTACAATCATTTACAATCCCATATATAAGCATTTATAGTCACTTATAATCCCATTTATAAGCATTTATAATCATTTATAATCCCGTTTATAAGCATGTATGATCATAATCCCATTTATAATCATTTATAATCCTATTTATAAGCATTTATAATCAATTACAATCCAATTTATGAGAATTTATAATCCCATTTAAAAGCATTATTTTTAATAATTTATCATCCCATTTAAAAGCATTATTTTTAATAATTTATCATCCAATTTATAAGCATTTATAATCATTTATAATCCATTGATAAGCATTTATAATCATTTATAGTCCCATTTATAAGCATTTATAATCATGTATAATCATTTATATTCTCACTTATAAGCTTTTATACTCATTTATAATTTATAATCCCATTTATAAGCATTTATAATCATGCTTATAAATGGCATGTGATTGGGAAACTCCAAGGGTCCTAACTGTCCCAACGGGACCAGGCCTGACCAAGGCGCTGGACCTCCATGTGCTGTGTACGGAGCCGCAAGGATTCCACGTCCTGCGAGCGAGTGCGCGGTTGCGCGCTGGTAAAGACATGGTGATTTTGTGGAAAGATGTGGGTCACTGCGACAATTTCACTCTCTCTCTCTCTCTATATATATATAATCTAACAATCTAACAATAAATGCGACACTCTAACAGAATCTAACTGATCCAACAATAGAACAACTAGGTGACAATCTAACAGAATCTAACTGATCTAACTTGATCAATACTAGGAAAAACTAGGCTGTGCAGGCCTAAAACACTGGGAAGTTCAATGATGTTCAATGATGTTCAATGGATTGAGGGAAAATCTATGGTTCAAACATGTTGAAAGCATTGCTTCTAACCTGAAACATCAAGGTATCCAGCAAATGTTAGCCGTCAACCCTCCAATTCCAGGAAGGCCAGGATGGGCTGCATGACAATGAAAAACAGGATGGAACCCCACACATTGATGGGAAAACAATGGAAAACAACATTGAAGTACCCTTCACCCAGTCGGCTCAGCCAAGAATCATGACATTCAGTCAATAAAAACACATATGGGTGGAGGCTAGCTCGATACCTGGGGCTCCCTAAACAGACTTAGGACACCAAAGAATCATCGCAGTCCTTGACAGTTTGCTTGTTGCTCTCTTCCACTGAACTCATGGCCTGCCTCGAGCAGCATCGGCCAAACCGTTTGCTCCCCTCCGTTGGGGAAAAAATGCAAGGAAAATCAACGGAAAATTCATACAAAATGGCCATTGACTAAAAGCCAAACCATTGACAAACGGGAAGGTCCCATCAAATATCGAGGATTACACATTGGTTGTGACCCATGGACTTCTACATTTCCATGGCAATGGCATTATATAATGGAACACGGTAATTTACAGACATATCGGGTGAGGTTCCCCCGGTTGGATAAGAAACCGACATATATGAAATCCTGTATTCATATGACATCCGCATCAAATCCAGGTCCATCCCCATCTGCAAGCGTGGCGCCACAGTTCCTCCTTTCCGCTCTTGTACTCAGCAGTCGCCTCTGCCAGGCTCTTCCCAAGAGCGACCTGGTGGCTGAAAATGATGTAGACCTTAGACCTCCCAGTTTTATATCCAATGATCCCGGCACATCCCTTCCCAACACCCCACCTGAATATACATAAACCATGGTTTACGCTAGGGGATTTTCGGATTTCCACATATTTTCACATGGCTTTAGCTGGTGGTCCCGTGACCCCCATGGCCTGCTTGTCCAACTCCTGCTTATTCTCAGCGACGCTGTGGGTAAGGGCTGCTTGAGCAATCTCCTGGCACAAAAAACCGACGATGGTCAAGTCGGAAGTCTCAGGGAACTGTCCGGAAAAATATGGAAAAAATATGGCATCAGGAAACTTGATGAACAACAAAAAAACAATATTGGTCAGAATTGTCATGGTAAAAGACCATAGTTTCGACTTTCGACCACCATGGTCCACCAGGTCCACCGGTCCTCGTCTTGCAAGGCCTGTTTCAGAGCCATGGTCTCCGTCACCCAGCGCTGCACTGAGGTGGTGGACTCTTGATACGACTGGGATTCCTCCGGGGCAAGGCACGAAACAAGTGGAGCTGGGGGTGAATGTCACTTAACATGTCATTTAATCTTGAGAATATCTTGATATTTTTTTGCATGAATAGAGAAGGGTTGGGGAATTAATCTATATTAATCTGTATGGGAAAGGGGTGGTCTTTGAGTTGTCTGGGAAAGAAAAAGAAGAGAACTGGTCCTGAGGGTATTTTTTAGGTCAAGACCCTCCATTTCCAGCACATTACGCAACAGCCCCGCATGACCACCCGGCCACAGCACTAGAAGTCAGGTCAGCCACTTTTAGACATGTACATGTACCTCCACCAATAGACCTGAGAGCCTTTTTCTGGACCCATATTCAAAGAAACATGATAGGCCAGGGAAAAACACTCTATGATGGAAAATGATGGACAAGTACTGTATGCGGGAATTTCTTGATACAGTAGCCATAGCTCCGAACCCCTCCCAAAATCGTACTCTATCCACCTGAGCGCAGGCTAAGGAGCAACGAATCAAGTTTCCCAACCACATGTTATTTTGGACATGTATGGGATCTGATGGAAAAACGTGAGGAATTTGTGGCGAACATGTTTGTTTATGGGCAAATCATCGAAATTTGTGGTTTATTTTTACTTGGAGAATTTCCTGGATAATGATGGTTTTCCTTTTATTGCAGGAATTCATGAAACATGAAACATTTATTTCCTGAATTAATGAAAATCCAGCATTTTCCAGGGATTTTCCCATGAAAACCTAGAACTTCCTACCGGATGGGGCCCCCAGTCGATAGCGTTCAGTTGTCTCAAAAAAGTGGCTGAATTCTAGGTTTATGGATGTTTATGGCATATAACTATACTTATATAATGGATGTTAATGGGGTTAATAACCCAACGTTCACATCACTGGGGGGCACCATCCTGTAGGACTTTTTTATGCGGTTCCAGCGGGCAGAATTCGGCACCTTGGACAGGGCCTCGCGCAGCTCGTTGAGTTCCGTGGCCAAGCCGACGGCCGAGATGCGCGTTTGTTGGTGCTCGTTGGCCATCCTCAGCTGGGAAATCTGAGAAAATGGGAAACTTAGGCTATAATCTATAAACTATAATCTATCTTAGTCTACAAAATCTATATGTATTTTATATATCTATATGTATATATATATATAATCTATAGATTATAGATTTTTTTATGATATCATATCTATGTATGTATACAGTAATATCTATATGGTTGATTATCTACAATGCATCTAAATCACAATCTGGGTTTGTCTGAAAATGGGGTATCCCCAATTACAACTTATGATTAAATCATTATCCCCATTAAATGGCCATTTGGCATCTGGGGGTATACCACATGTTCAGACACTCTAGGGTTAGTGAAAAGTATGTGTATAATATATATATATATATAAATATGTACATTGTTGGTTCCTTAGGCAAATCCAAGTGTACAGGGTTAATATTCACAGGGAACGTATTTATGATAAAATGATTAATGTGGTAAACCCAATGCCATAAACCTTTCCTAGTATACCGACGGACTGAAACTTAGAATGACGTTTTGGTGGAAAGATGTGGACGTCAAAAAAAACACCCGCGTACCGCGTGAGAAATTCGGGAGGCATTCTAACCCTATTTATTTAGTCCTGAAACCTCTAAACAAATCCGGGACGGCATTCTAACCCTATTTATGTAGTCCTGAAGACCCCAAAACTCCAAAATTTCGAATTTTCGACCGTCCCGTGTCTTCCATGTACTACAAATATGCAGAATATGCATGTAAATTGCAAGACTCTACCCAACAATACAATGAAAAATAATGAAAAACATCTTTAAAACATTGAAAAATCAGTGAAACATGATGAAAAACATGTACACACATTGAACAATCAATGAAAAATAATTAAAACTTATTAAAACCATCTTGAAAATACTGAAAAATCATTGAAAAATAATGAACAACATCTTCAAAATAATGAAACACCAATGACACATAGTTAAAGAATCAATGAAAAACATCGTCAAATAATGAAAAACAAATGAACATAATGAACACCATCTTCAAAATAATGAAAGATCAATGAAAAATAATGAAAAACATCTTGAAAATAATGAAAAAACAATGAACATAATGAAAAATCAATGAAACATAATTTTTAAAAATGCCGCTTTGGTGGAAAGATGTGGATTTCAAGAAAAGACCCGCGTACCGCGTGAGAAATCCAGGAGGCATTCTAACCCATTTAGTCCTGAAGGCATTCAAATCCTATTTATTTAGTCCTGAAACCCCTAAAACTCGAAAATGTTTGACGAATTTTCGACCGTCCCCGTGTCTTCCATGTATATGGTACTGCAAATATGCAGATTATGCATGTAAATTGCAAAAATCTACCCAACACATAATAAAAGATCATGAAGAAAAACACTAAACAATCAATGAACAATAATGAAAAACATGCAAACACATTGAAAAATCAATGAAAAAGAACGAAGCACATCTTGAAAATGATGAAAAGTCCATGAGGAGTAATGAACAACGTCTTGAAAATAATGTAAAATCACTGACAAATAATGAAAACATCTTCAAACTACTGAAAAATCACTGAATGCCGTCCCGGATTTTTTTAAAGAGGTTTCAGGACAAAATAAATAAGGTTAGAATGCCTCCTGGATTTCTCACGCGGTACGCCTGTTTTTTTTTTGAATCCATGTCTTTCCACCAGGGTGGCATTATGATTTTCGGTTCTACCATGTAATTAAAAGAAACAATAAAAAATAATGAAAAACATCATCAATATAATGGAAAACCAATGAAAAGTAATGAATCTACCCAAAATCAATCAAAACTGTCGTAATATGCAGAAAAAATGCAATACCGTCATCCGCCGATCCAAGAACACCTCGTTTACTCACATATAATATGTATGTACATGTACAATCATGTACATATATGTAATATATACAGCGCGTATATGTGTGTATAATGCCGTTTTCAGAGGTTACCATCCTATTTAAATCATCACCCTGTTGAGGGGGAGGGGGGGTCTAAATGAAATATTTCATTTGTGGATACCCCCCCACCTATACATATACAATCAAAATCACCCCCTCCAAAGACAAGAGGCTAAAATTTATGGATATCGTGTTATGTATGCGTATATCATCCGAATATACATATATAAATATGATATTATATGATAATATATGATAATATATGATGATATATGATAATATATGATAATATATGATAATATATGATAATCTCTCTTCTCCTCTATGCCTCTCTCTGCTCCTCTCTGCTCCTCTCTGCTCCTCTCTGCTCCTCTCTGCTCCTCTCTGCTCCTCTCTGCTCCTCTCTGCTCCTCTCTGCTCCTCTCTGCTCCTCTC